AGGCTCGACAGACGACAAGAGGCCTATTTTGGACTACTTCGCAACTGGGGGAAAAGTCAGGCAGTTGCGCAGCGCCAGTTGCTTGAAAGCGGCCAGGCCCTGGCCTCCTTTATCAAATCCATCTGACTCAGGCCCTGGGCGAGATACGCAGCATGGACCCAACTCAGGCTACGGCCAGTTGGGAATGGGTAACTGTCACAGGCCTTGGGCCTGATCAGTTTGGTCTGGGGCTCAGCCTCTCTCGGCCTACCGGAAGCTTCTGGGAAGGGGCCCAGCGCAGCCAGGCTGCACGCAAGGCAGGCAGGCCACTTCCATTTAGGAAAGGGCCTGCACACACATTCGGCATTCGGGCACTGGCTGCATGCTGCGCAAGCGCTCATGCGCTAACGCTGGCCAGCGCTCATGCGCTCACGGGCGAGCTGGAAGGAGCAGGCAGCCAGAGCCGAGCTGCGCTGCTGTATGCTGGATGGGGCGCATGGTGGTCCTTGGGTGCATGTGGCATCTGTGAGTTGGGGAACGAGGTTGTGAGTGATACGAGAGACATACCTGGTGCTTGAAGCGTACGGCATTGGCCGAGATCTGCTTGTACTTCAGGGAGCTGTTGACGTCATCGGTGCCATTGTAGATTAGGCTAGATAGGATCTGCCATCTTTAGTCTGGGCGCCGAGCGCCAGATAGGATATCGACATTGGTTCTTCGTTGATGATGATGAGACTGTTCCAGCATTGTCAATTATGAGCTTTTGCTGTGCTCTTATTTGGTGAAACTCGTGATGCAATTCTGCTATTGGTTCGAGGTCACGACTATCTGGTCTCACGTGCATGATGCTGTTTGGTTTCTGAAGTTCGCTATCGCTCATTTTCCTTGCAATTTGGTATCAGAGCTGTGGTACGGTGCGCTCATCTCGCGCTTGTCTTCTGCCTTTGCGGTACATACACGCGGTCTGCTGGGCGAGCGGCCGTGGGAGGTGTGTAGTGAGGAGGGTGGAAACAAGTGAGGCAACCCAGGAGGTGAGGGGATCGCCAGGAAGGCTACTAAGTGGTGAATATTGGGTGTTCGCAGTGTGATGAGAACTATCCGATGTGTGATTGATGCTGAGGTGGAACGGTGGTGCAATGCTGGTTGTGCCGAAGCAGCGATTGGTCATCACAATCAACATCGGGTCATCTGGTGAGAATATCTGTGGTTGGGGGCAGCTATTTTGAGGTACGTTGCACCTAACCTTATCTACCCTCTTCGACACTCCTTACCGTGAGGATGTGTGTTCTATCTTGAGAGTCCTCACATGTGAGGAGTCGTGTCCGCTCAACCTTGAGAGTCGTCAGTCTTCACGTGGAGCATCTGAAAGGAGAGGGCAGTGCTATCTGAAGGGCCCTGGACGAAGCACTGGGTCACGGTCACCATGCCAACCCACCGGGAGTAGAGCACGCATGCTTTGCTGCTTTGTCCTTTGTCTGGTCGCTGCGCTATAAAGGGGTTCTGAGGGGCAGGCCAGCCCTATGGGGAAGACGAGACCGGACGTCTATAAATAAGTACCGGCGGGGACCTTCCATTAGCTGTGATCGTCGTCCTGTTTGCGGCTTTAAATAATTCCTGAGGACTTCGGGGGCCGTCCATAAAAACGCCTCCTGATCAGCCAATCGGTTGGTGTAAGGCTCGCTGCACACGAGGATAAATACGATGCAGGACTGGCCAGCTCAGCAAGACTTGGGCCACAGGGGTGGGCCGTGTGCACACCTTCGGACACGCACGCTATTTTGAATTGCTCAAGGACGTTGACGACAAGAGACGTTCAGGAAGAACTAAGGGAGGCGTAGATTCCAGGTGATAAGTTTGGGCAAGATTCCATTCTGCAAACAGACCCAACAAACGATTCTCAGAATATGATAAACACGAAAATTCATCAAGAAGAAGATGATGTGAGCTTTATTATCATGATGTCACCAACTCCTTCACCGCCCACCCTGACATAACACCATCAGGGATTCTCAACCCTTCCACTCATACGTCACTCAAGTTGAGGACCATTCTACTCTTCCTACGTTATTTATACTCTTTTTCCGACCCTACTCGCTCGGACTGCGTTCTAAGGCGGGAATTCGCAGACCACATTGGCCTGTACTCCGGCCTTCACGCCCAACTCAGTAGTGTCTGTCCTAGTCCACATTCATTGATATGAATGCCACGTTTGGCAGTAACTTCCCGCTTCAACTGGTCCCTCAGTCATGTTTGGACCCTTTTTAAACTTCACCTCCTTTCCGGTATTTCGTCCGGGTTCATCGAAAAAATAAACTCTTACGTCACCTACTTTCGGCGGATCCTGTTCCCACCTTTCTTCACGTTTTGGCTTTACTGCCTCAGTGTCACGTGCAGTAGTTTACTCAAAATCTCCAAGCCACCAACATCCGATTGTCTGTCACCTTCGCTATCTTCCCGTATTCAGCGCTCAATGCTCCTTTTCACCTAGCCATGYKCGGGCGATAGTGACCATTTTTTTCCAAAAGGTGGTAGGGGATCTCTCCTACCCATCCATTCAAGTCCCACGACCACCACTCTGCCAGGGTATTCGAGCTTCACTAACTCCTCAATCAGCGTGAGCACATTAAGGAAGGTTACCCCTAGGTCTGTCTCTTATACACATCTAGATGTGTATAAGAGACAACATTAAGGAAGGTTACCCCTAGGTTATTCGAATTTATGGAAATACGAAGGATCGTATTTGCAACCGTAGAAGTCTTTGTAGGTTCTGAAACGCAAATCCCTAGACCCCCAAATTGAGTCCGAATTCTTAACTTATGCGCCATTATCATGCTCATGGGTTTATTCCCCACAAGCAATCTGGACTCCAAAAAATCCAACACCCCATTCCCTGTGTCAGTTCTTTCAAGTTGTAGCCCCTTCGGATAGCCCTGTGTCACCCGGTCAAAACGTTCTCTTGCCTTATTGACACCTTCGGGGTCGCGCTTGTCGAAAAAAGATACAACCAGCAGGTCATCAATGTACCTTTTCCCGGTGATAAACCTAGCATCTGCACCTAATGAGATCAGGAGCTTGTATTCAGATAACATACACATCACACAGGCCAACGGGGGGCTAGCCCTTCCACTCATCGGTATGCCCCGCTTCTGCCTCAGAACCGTTCCGCAGACCCGAAAAAAAGTATTTTCTAGCTGGAAGTCAGTTAAAGCAACCAGTTTACTTAGTCTAACCGACTTCCCGCCTGCTTCACCATGTGATTTTCCAAACGTCACTAGATTCTTACAGGTGTTCACCCGAATCCATTTCAGCCCCTTCTTCTGAAATACGTCAACCATCCATTGCACCACTTTGCTAATTTTCTCGTGCGGCAGTTGCGTAAACATCTCCTTAATGTCATAAGTGCGGACTTCGAAGTCCAAACCCGTCGTAGCAGTAAGTTCGTTAATCCTGTCGATCTCACTCTTGAGGTCACCAATGGTGCGAACATTGAAGTGTGGTACCTTTATCCGCTTGATCAATCCATTCAACGCAATCGAGAGTAGTCCCGATGCTGCGCGGAACGGACTAGCGAAAGATGGGACAATTAAACGTTTTTTTAGCTTGTCCTTCTCTTTGGAGATAACATAGGCAAACTGCAGCTCACCTAGCTGATCCCAGGTGGCTACTTTATCAACCCCGACCTTTTTGTATTTATCTCTGCATTTTCCCACAACTTCATCCGGTGCATTTGGAACCTGCTCTCATTACACAGGTACATCTTACTTAGCCCTTCCTCATAGAGGATTGGACACTCCACCCATGTCTCACTTGTTTTCCGATCCAGTGGGGACAGGACCAGACCTTCAAGTGCTTGCCCCACTCTGATCACATATTCGTTGAGAACACACTCAGCGTGCCGGGTCTCTCCAAGTCGTGCAACAGCCAACCAGTCAACCCGCACTTCCTCAGATACTATGCCTGCGACCCGTAGGCCATCCAATGCATCATTACAGGCTCGCCTTACCATCCCCTTACTGGCAGAAGATCCAAGAAAAGGAACGTTTTTTGCATTAAATAAAAAAGGGTGAATATCGCCAACTTCACTCAATTTGACCGCGACATGCCCATTTTGTCTAAGCAAGTTGAAACCAGTGCATGCACACTCAAAAACCCGTGCCTGCGCAAAAGATTTCTGATTATGCAGAAGGTCACCGACCAAGCGGGCTTTCAGCCACACGGTCCTCATCCTTCCTGCATAAGTCAGCAAGAGATGTCGGTGACACTTTCTCTTTTATCCAATTCTTAACAGACACCTCCACTTTCCTCTCATCCACAGTGATGTCAGCAATTTTACCGTGATGTTCATCCTTGGATTAATACCAAACCTTCTCTTACATACCCAGTAAGAATTCCCCTTAGAATTTGTCGGCCCTCTTCTGACCTATGGTCTTTACGCTACTGTTCAGTTTAATTAGCTCTTCCAAAGAGTGTACATACAACTCCTTTCTTTTCCAGGGTGCTCGGAGCAGAGCGATAAGTTTCGCCCTATCCTGCTCAGTCCTGGTCTTAGTTATGCACAATCCAGTAACCGACCAACTCCCACCCCCCTCAATCAAGCCCTTTTTATCCCTAAGCAACAACTTTTTCCCATTGAGCTCAATCTTAGATGCACCAAACAGCAGTTTGACCAACCTCCATGCTTTTACCCATTGGCCACCGGCGTTATTAGAAATCAAGGTCGCACCCTTAATTTTACTTTTTCCTAGAAGTTTAAGAAATCTAAGTCCGGTTCCTGCCTCGCGTTAACAGCAGCACAGTCAAAGAATAGGGGTTCGGTAACATCACTAGGAGACATCCTACATCCAACAGCCCGCCTTCCACCCCGACTATTGCGTGGCTTTTTTCTCCGCCCACGTCCTTTCGAATTAAGCCCAGGGTTATGACTCTTAATAATCTTAGTCTCCATCCGTTCAATAGCACGTTGTTCCCCGAACCAGACCGGAATAGGAACATAATGTTGCAATCCAGCTTTTTTCAACCATGTGTGTACGCACTGTTTACTACTACCTGCTGCAGCACGACACTGCTCCCGCCACCTCTCTTTTAGCGATCGTACCGTCTTACCCACATAGACAAGCTTATAACTCAAGGACATAATAGTATAGACACAACAACCACCATTCAACAGACAGTTCCACTCCGGCTGGGACATCCGCAGCCAGAACCGTACATACGCCTTACCCCACGCAATATCCCCCTGCACGCAGGCCAATAGGATGATCAATATATGAATCTGGTCTAGTACAGGAGTCCAGGTGCCATCCAAACAGTCCTTCAGCTTAACGATCCTGTTCACCGCCCTTCTCAAGGAGCACAAGCTACCATGCTGCTAATCAGCGGCATCACTCAGATCTGCATTATCTTGGTTCCGTGACGGCTCGACAGTGATCTTCGAGGCTACATTCTTCAGCTGATCCACATATTCCTGCAAGTCTACGCACGCAACTTCCCAAGAGCCTGTATCCTTACGAACATAATGTACCCCCTTCTGCTTACAGAGCTCCTGCACTCGCGAAAAGTGCAGGGACATATAGAAATCCTGCCTCATCTTCATATACGCGGCGAGGCCGTCCTCATCTGCTTCTGCCTCCTCGCTTTGGAACTTCTGCGCAAGATCAATGTCTTCAGGATCTTCGGGCTCAGGCTCCGGCTCACGCCCAGTCTCTGGGGTCATGGCGCGCTGCTTACCCTTCTGATCCGCGAGGCCTTGAACGAGCTCGGACAACAGCTTCTTCACTTCCGATAGATCACTACTCTTCTCCATTTTTAGCGCCAGGTTCTCTCTAACACCATCAACCTCACATTCGTCGTCGGACGAGATCTCCACTCTTCGTGTCCTTGATTTAGAACTTCCCCGCGACCGTGTCTTCGCAACAATTGTCTTCGGGGTAACTGCAGCAGCGGCAACAGCCAGAGCTACCGGCGCAGCCATGGCCCGCTTTCGCTTCTCACTACTCGTCTCCTTTCCCCTATTAAGAACAACTTTTTCCAATGCCACCTTCTCCATTTGTAACCTCGCAAGCTCTTCCTTTTCTGCGGCCGTAACCTCCGCTTTCGCATCCACTTCCTCTAATTTCTTAGTAATCAGTTTTAACGAGTCCCCCAGAGTTGAAGAAACCCACGCCTTCATCTCCTCGCTCTTGTCACCGGTACGCCCCTCAGATATGCGGCTCTCATCGAAGATCCCAGCGATATGGATCCCCACACTTCACCTGTTACTAGCAATCCTCCTCTTCGCCTCCTCCAGCACCTTCGTCGACTTTATGTCTTCTAGTATGTCCATGTATTCCTTGGTGAAATAGGCACGGTTCCCCGGCCCGGGAAACGCATTCGCAGCCGGCCCTTTCCCCGAATTCGAAGACGGGTTCTCACCAGCGGACGAGCCATACTGATTACTTGCTTGCTGGTGCTGATAATTGCTCGCCGGCGGTACTGCCGGCATGGCTTGAGGATGCACTACAGCGGGCGGTCGCGCCACTATCGGTTGAGCGGCTTGTACAATCGGCATTGGTTGCCCAGGGGGCATCATCCATGGCCCTGCCATCTGCTAGGGTCCTAGCCATGCCTGCGCATTCCAGGGTCCAACTGGTTGCTGCGCTTGATAGGCAGCTCCGCTACTTCCAGCTCCCAAGTTTGAGGATGGCGCAACCGCTTGATTCATCACCATCGGATGCTGCGCACCTGGCCCATACACTCCAGGTGGTGGTGGGTTGTACTGCCCACTCGCTTGACCATTACCGCCACTCATGTTGGACCAATACGGCCCACAGTTGGACCAGCGTCCCCTCCGCGATACCCCTCTCCTATTCCGCCCGTACATACGTCTGAGCAACTATAGCACCAACAGTACTTCGCCAATCCCAACACTCTACGCAACCTTCCGGTCCCTGTTCCTCGTATCAATCACCCAACTCGATGCCCTAAGCATCAATCACTCAACTTGCTCGCAAATTCCCACTTCACACGTCTTTTCTTTCTGTTATACTCCACCCTCTCGAGCAGCACTACGCATATTTCCCCGATACACGAGTGTAAAACACACCGCTTCCGACTTCCTCACTCACCCGTTCATACCGTTGCGCGCGCTACAAACATAATTGTCACTTCTCCCGTCGTACTTGTCATGCACGACCCACCGACACGGCGACACTTCAGTGGACGATCACCACCACCCAACTACTTGCAACACCAACACAAAGGTGACTTCGCACCAGATCCTTCCGTACGAGCGATAAAACCCGGTGACGGAACTAATACTGATCAAGACAGGACAATCGTTTCCAATTGGGAAAATTTTATAATAATGAGCCCAATCGCCGAATATGACAACATAAAAACCCCAAAAAACATGAAGAAACGTGAAGAAACATAAAGGAAACATAAAGGAAACATAAATGAAATGTAAATGAAAACATAAGTGAAACATAAGTGAAACATAAATGAAAACCCGTACGCACGATCCCACACGTGAGATTCGGCACCTCAGGCTCGTTCCCAAGCCATGGCGACGTCAAACCTGAGGTTGTATGTAATCAGAATATGATAAACACGAAAATTCATCAAGAAGAAGATGATGTGCGCTTTATTATCATGACGTCACCAACTCCTTCACCTTCCACCCTGACATAACACCATCAGGGATTCTCAACCCTTCCACTCATACGTCACTCAAGTTGAGGATCATTCTACTCTTCATACTTTATTTATACTCTTTTTCTGACCCTACTCGCTCGGACTGTGTTCTAAGGCGGGAATTCGCAGACCACACTGGTCTGTACTCCGGCCTTCACGCCCAGCTCAGGAGTGCCCGTCCTAGTCCACATTCATTGATCCGAATGCCACGTTTGGCAGTAACTTCCCGCTTCACACGGTCCCTCAGTCATGTTTGGACCCTTTTTAAACTTCACCTCCTTTTCGGTATCTCGTCCGGGCTCATCGAAAACATAAACTCTTAAGTCACCTACTTTCGGCGGATCCTGTTCCTGCCTTTCTTCACGTTTTGGCCTTACTGCCTCAGTGTCACGTGCAGTAGTTTACTCAGAATCTCCAAGCCACCAGCATCCAATTGTCTGTCACCTTCACTATCTTCCCGTATTCAGCTCTCAATGCTCCTTTTCACCTAGCCATGCGCGGGCGATAGTGACCATTTTTTTCCAAAAGGTGGTAGGGCTGTCTCTTATACACATCTAGATGTGTATAAGAGACAGCTCCTACCCATCCATTCAAGTCCCGCGGCCACCACCCTGCAAGGGTATTCGAGCTTCACTAACTCCTCAATCAACATAAGCACATTAAGGAAGGTTACCCCTAGGTTATTCGAATTTCTGGAAATACGAAGGATCGTATTTGCAACCGTAGCGTAATTTGCCTTGGTCGGTCCAAACGCCCTGAAGTCTTTGTAGGTTCTGAAACGCAAATCCCCATTGTGCTTTCTGTTTGCGAACTAGTCAAAGTCAAAGTAGTTTTGTTTGTAGGAATCTGAACTTACCTGTTGGACCCAAATGTTTAGTCTCTGACACAACCACCAATTATTTAAAATCGGTATGTACATCATGCTGCGGTAGGCATCGAGAGTGTCCTAGTGCGGGCAGAGTACAGTGTTGTAGCTTATGAGTGACAGGGAGGTCCCAAAACCGGACGATAGGATCTTGCGATCGGCAAGACGCCCGATAGCCCACTTGGTGTTAGGACCAGAGGGCGACAGATACTTGTTCTGTAAGCAGAGAGAGAGACAGCAGCAGCAGCGGAGGGCTACGGCAGCAGAGGCAAGCAGGGCATTCGTGAGTGAGGCCGCTACTTCAACAGCCATAGCTACTGGTGCGCAGCAAAGCTCTCAGGCTAGCAGTTCAGGGTCTGTAGGGTCGACGGCCGCACAGACCCAGAGTCAGTCCACTGGCGTGATGGCAAGCCAACCATTAGTGATGACTCCCGAAGAGGTCGCCATACAGTGAGCTGCTGATCGCGAGGCACAACTACAGCAGGCTTTGGGAGAGATTAAGTCAGGGAAGGAAAGAATGATTAGAAGAAGAGCCAGGATGCAGCGGAGACAAGCGGATATTAGCGAGGTAGAGGAGATGGACCCACCAGAGTTGGATGATGATGTGAGGACCCTAAGGGCGGTCTTGCTAGGTGTGGTAGAGATGCAAGATCACCAGACGACGATCTTACAGGACATCCAGCAGAGTCTGGCCGTGTTGGTCGGGTGAGCGCAAGCGGCACCATCGTCGTCCGGGCCCGGTGTCTGGCCCATTGTACATCCTCCTCCTTTTGTCCCCCCGGTGACTAGGGTATCCCCATATACAGCTCCAGCATCGGAACAACCCGTTTCCCTGGGTATGCCTTTAACAGGCGAGTTCTCAGCAGGTCCTAGTGTACAGATTCCTGTACAGACAGTGTTTTCCCAACCTCCATCGCAGGTTGCCGTGAGCAGGCAGCCTGTTGTCTCGCAGTCTGCACAACCGCACGGTACACAGCCCCAGCAGCAGCTAGTGCAGCAGCCTGCGCCTCTGGGTCCACAGCCGGGAATGGTACAGGTACCGGGACAAAGTCGGTGGGTTCCAAAGACGGTCATCGCTGCTCCAAAACCCTTCACAGGGGATAAGAGGGGCGAAGACCTTGACACATGGTTGAGGTCAGTGCCAGTCTATGTCAAGTGTAAACTTACCTTGCCACACGAGGAAGTGCTTGTGGCTGCCTCCTATCTAGAGGGGAGTGCAGCAAGATGGTTGAGTGGTTTAGTGCAGTTGCAGGGATACGGTCACGACTTCCGCGCTTGGGCAATCAACCAAAAACTAGAGGACTTCCTCAAGATGGTGAAGACAGGTGGCATGATCCTCAGGAGGCTCAAAAGGCCATTGACGCGATGCTGACTTTGCACAACGAGCATTTTAAGTCAGTAAGAGAGGCCACCAACGCAGTATAGCGTCTGATCTGTGTCCCTGGAGTGCGCTATGACCCCTTGGTTTTACTCACCTCCTACCTGAGATGTTTTCCTATGCCTCTCAGGCATCAGTTGGCAGGTGAGGCCAACATCAACATGCGCAACTTCCCCTCGTTTAGCAAGAAGGCCCTAGACCTGGAGGCAAAGATAGGGCATGGACAGACACCCACGACGGATGGTAGGAAAAAGTCACTGCCTCCCAACCGGAAAGCAAAGGGGCGCATTATGTTCGTTGACAACGATGGTTCTACCATTGAGTTGGATGATGATTTCCAGGCGGGAGTGGGTTCAGAGGTAGAAAGCGTAGAGGCTTCAGGGGGTGGAGTAGTCGCTGCCTCAGTCCAAACGCCGTGGAGGCTCCCGGTCTAGGAGTCAAGTTGACCCCAACGCTCCTCCATGGGAGAAAGCGGGTCTAACTGAGGACGTGTGGAGAGACCGGCACAGCTGGCAAGCTTGCATTCGTTGTGGCCAATATGGCCACAATCAGTTCAAGTGTCGTAATAAGAAGGTGACCGGGTATATCCCGCCTACGATGGGGCAGGCGTTGGGATCCTCCACTCCCGTTGGTAGCAATGTGGCCAGCAGTTCTGGCACTGCTCCGGGAAACGCGTCGGGCCAGTAGGAATAGTAGTTGTTCCTGCTAGGGTCGAGGTGGTGGACACACCCTCACCATCTCCAGAGATGGCCCACGCTACTGACTCCATCGTCGTCCCACAAACACATTCAGACCCATCGAGCGTCTGTTTGATGAATGTGTTTGAGTCCTTAAGAGGAGCTAGAGGAGGAGTGGTCCAAATCAGACCCGCTAGCTTCTTGGGCAGCATTGGCAAAAGCCCCTAGGAGTGAGATGTTTGTCGGCGAGGTAGTCATCGACGACCGTAAGGCCGGGGCCTATTATGACACTTGCTCGACTAGGAACTTCATTAGTCGCACGTGCGTTGAGAGGCTGCACTTACAGGGGCAAGTGCAGCGCCTGAGTCGACCTATGGAGTAGACTTGTGAAGTCGACCTGTGCCAACAAACAACACATGGTAGTCCACGACTACCTTCAGAACATTGAGTATTGTTTTCCGTACGCGGGAGGGGAACTGAGACATCGCGTTTCGTTCCTAGTGCGCGATGATCTCCTTATGGATATCTTGTTAGGTATGTACTACCTCTCTGTTGCACAGCCCCAGTTTGACTAGGACCGAAAAGTGGTCAAGCACACTTTGCCAGGTGGAGGGACCG